AGAGGCAGAGAGTGATCTCATCATTTCCTCAGAGATTATTAAGTATTCTGATAATGTGAAAGAGTCACTGTAACAGTCCACCATCCTCCTCATGTGGAGTTTAGCAGGTTTTGGTTCTTCCTCACACACAGAATCTATGCTAAAACTGTCATAGTCCCTTTGGTAGGTCTATGATTGGTCTTTCTATTAGGTCTATATTTCCTTCTGGGTTTGAGAAGCTTTTGAGGTTCACGTTTCTTTCTTTTCCCTTCCTTCACTCTTGTCTTTGTGTTAGTCTTTTGTCTTTGGTTCTCCTGTTTAATTGTGTCACGTTAATTGTCTTCAGTCACGTCTCTCTCGTTTGATTTTGGTAAGTGTGCTCTGTGTCTTACGCCGAGCTCAGGTGTAGCTCAGGTGGTAGAGCAGGTCATCTACTGATCGGAAGGTTGGTGGTTCGATTCCCGGCTTCCCCTAGTCTGCATGCCAAATATCCTTGGGCAAGATACTAACCCGAAATTGCTCTCCGATGCATCCATCGGAGTATGAATGTGTGTGAATGTCAGTTGTGCTTGTGTGAATGGGTGTGAATGGGTGAATGCACAAGTTGTGTAAAGCGCTTTGAGTGCTCAGAAGAGTGGAAAAGCGCTATATAAGAACCAGTCCATTTACCATTTACTTTCCCATCTCATTTGGTTAGTTGTCTGCAGCTGTTTCCCAGCTGCTCCCACTTCCCTCATTACCTTTTGTTTGAATTGTCTCAGTGTCCCCTTGTGCTTTGTTGAGACATTCACATATAGCTACATGCTGCAGATCGTGTATAATCTCTTGTTTTCTGGATTCTGGAGTCACTGTCTTGTTTTCTCATCTTGGTGTTATTCATGTGTCCTGCGTTTGGACCCCCAACTTACTGCAACAATCACACAGCCTTAAATATGACAAGAAAGGGGGTTTCCCTGTGCACAGGAAATGTGTACCTGAGAGAATATATAGATATGATAAGAAGGGTTTCCTGATCAAGTGTTGCGAGCGACCCTTGGAAAGCCTGCACAGCTGCACTGGAGGTCCTTACATGCTTTATTTTTTTGTTATGAATCAGCATTAATATACAGAGAGCAGACAAGGAGGCTAGAAATGACTTATAACAGTGCATTCTTAGTGGGTCCACTTTGCAAATATGTCAATAAGATAAGTCCAGAAACAGCCTTTAAATGAAAAGTTTGTGAAATGTTAGTGACCCAAACTACAGCTGTTGTTGTAGAGAGTAAAGAATGAGCTGCTCATCAGAGTCATAAATGACTGTAATCAACTGAACATGATCCGACATGACTGAGATCTTTCACAGGTTTGGATTAAACAGTACGACTCTGCACTAAAGATGCACCACGATCTAAATTAGTGAGCGCCAGACAGAAAACACTAATCAAGACAACTATGTTTGTTAGTACATATTTTCAGCCCTGTGTTCACTTCTCAGTTTGGATGGATACAGTTTACGATGGCTGATTCTAAGAACGACTCTCTCGATGTCTCCGCTTTCATCTGAACGCGATCAAGCCTCGCTCAGGAAGCTCTCAGAGCGGCCCGCCCGCCCGCCTGATGAAACGCTCTGGTGTTGCTCTTCTACTGTGCAGTCAGCCTAAAGAACGTTGGCCAGCAGCTCCGCTTTTGCCAAATGAAACTTTTTACTGGGTTAGCCTAAGGTAAATGGTGCCCATAAAGGGACAAATAAAAGCAGAGTAACAAAATAAAAAGCTGATGTAAGAAAATTCACCCTTATCACAAAACACTGGCTGCTGTCGGACATAAGTTTTTGATTTTCTTCCAGACCTTCTTGCTCTGTTTCACTGTATTGATGGCTGCTGCCTTGGGGTTAAGCTCAGTTCAATATTGTAAAAGATCTACTTATCAATAATTCACAAATACTGACTGGCCGCTTCACATGAATTGCTGCCTCCCTCCGTCTCTGCTTCGCTTCATCGCCTCGCTTCTTTCCAGCATTGCCACAAGCCTCTGCCGTTCTTTCCTTTTATTTTCTCGCCCCGCCTCGTCTCTTTCTTTCATCTCTTTTCTTCATTTTGCACTTGTTCACTTGTGAGATTCTCTGTATACCTCCTCTTGCTCACTCCTTGTCTAAACATGTACTTCTGAGCAGGGGAGACTTCACAAACCAGAGCCCTTTGTCAGCTGCACAATCTACACTCTTTAAGCTTTTCCTGCAACAACACTGTCAATTTCAGAGACCAAAAATACATAACAAATGCATATAAACGTGTATCTGTGCTGCTCTGATGCTGACTAAGTGTCAGCAGCCTCTTTGCTAATAAAAACATCCTGAAACCACAGCTGTTAGTTCACTTTGAAAGCTAATGGGCATTAGTGTCTACCCTGAGGCGAGAACAACAGTGTGGTTTCTAACATGAAAATGAAAATGATGTGAAACACATGGTGGGATAATCCAAGCTTGAGCTTAGGTTGCTAGCATGAGCTGATAAGCATAAATCATGATGGGCACCTTCTTCAGTAACTTGCACATGTTGCTCATGTTTTTCTAATTACTTTTTTAAAAACAGCTAAAACATGCATGTGTTATGGCTCGAAGCTAAAGCTGCAATAAAATAATATTTCTAACAAGTAGCTTTCTGACTACGTGTCATGGGACAAATCTTTGATCAAACTTTGAGGCTACCTCAATAGAGATTTTTTTTGTTTTAAGTGTAGCTCAGTGCTTTGATTTTTCAGACACAATCAATCTATTATTAATCTGACTCCCAGCTGTAGCACAAGGCTATCATTCTGTTATTAGAATTACTGCATCTCAGTTTCATGAATTTAGTCCAGTTGGTTTAGATCCATGTCTGTCCAGACTTTACTTTTGGATGTAAAATGGTGTTATGTATCATTTTGTCCTATCAGATGCGTTAAATTTGGTCACTTTGTGAATGACTTCTGGAGTTATGAGAAGAGAAACACACATCTCATGCTTTATCCAGAGACTGTATACAAAAGATGGACATACCAGGTTTGTGAATATTTTGAAGCTTCAAAGTTTCATTACAATCAGATTACTCCTTTTAGAAAGTAAATAGAAATAGAAAGGCAGCTCATCAGGTAAAGCTTGCTAACTTCACAGCATATTATATCAATAAACTATATGAGTGCAATCCACAGACAGATATATTAGTATTAAGTAAATTTAAAATCAGCAGCAAAATCACAACAACAGTTGTCTCAGGGCACTTTATATCGTAAGGTAAAGACCCTACAGAGAAAACAGAGAAACCCCAACAATCATATGACCCCCTATAAGCAAGTGATCTGGCGACAGCAGGAAGGAAAAACTCCCTTTTAATAGGAAGAAATCTCCAGCAGAACCAGGCTCAGGGAGGGGCGGGGCCATCTGCCGTGGTTGATTGGGGCGAGTAAAGCCTGAAAAGTAGAATTTTACTCATCAAAACTGAAGCTCAAACTACTTGGACACATCGAAACATCCAGTTATGAGCTTCTGATTAGCTCATAAAGAGGAAATTTAACCATAAAGGCTGAAATGGTTTAGAAACCAGGATGATGTGACCGAGGCCACCAGAAGAACTGCAGGATTTAAAACGTGGTGCTTGGTGTTTTCTGACAATGACTACTGATCCAGTGTAATTACATATACATTACTTATTGTTTTTCAGTGTAAAATCTCCATAAGAAATGACAATAGAATAATTTCTCTATTTGGAGCAAATAAGGAGAAGGAAGTTACTTTTTAAGGATAACTGGAAAGCTCTTTTCTCTTCTGCAAATTTGTTTGTACAAGAAATGTATAACTTTATGCAATTCAACTTTGTGGGACTGAGAATTATTATAGTTGCAAATATATTATCGACTCTTAATGAGGCCATTACTGGTGCAAATCCATATCCAGTTCATCACTGGTAAACAAATGAGTGCATTACTGCTAATGGAAAGAGGATCAGACGATGTAACAGTTGTTGTTACGCTAACTTTTAACTCTTTTTTCAGTGAGATGGAAAATCTGGCCTGAAAAACGTGATCAGCTGGTGAAGTGAACGTTTAAGGTTTCGCCCTCTCAGTCTCTTCTGAAGTTTTTATACTTCCTAACATTTCTGGGGACCTTATTTGACTTCCCCACCATACTTTTTATGAAGAAATCCAAGTTCTCTTTTGAAACCCCCCCCACGGGGTTGTGCCTAATGGGCTTCATCTCTTTGACTTCTGACTTAAGTTGGGAGTGAGAGTTCTGAATCTGGCCGATGCTAATTAGGGGCTGATTCCCCTGCCAGAGTGCCTGGTAGTAAAACTACAGATAGTCAGGAAACTGGATGGTGAGGTGGTACTGTGCCTTTCAGAAGACTGGATGAGAATCGAGGAAAGGACGGGTCTGAATGATGGATAAATACGCCCCACCTTCAGTCTGATGTTTGGGATGAAAACAGTCCACGTACACACAGACGAAGCTTACAAATGCACACACAGACCAGATGCCAACGGCGTGAATGCGGTAGTGTCTTCTTTTTACTAATTATCCAGCTCCTTCTACTTATCTGTCACATTTTAAGACAACATTAAAAGTGTGAAGATAAAAATAAAAGAGGCTTGTTAAAAGTCAGAAATTGTGGACGTGTGAAAGCTCATTATGCAACGGAAGTAGATGTGCTTTTAAAATCGCACAGAATAGAGGAAAAATGATCCGTGCTCTAACAAAACCAGGACGGGTGCTTCTAAAGAGCCGGAGACAAAGGGGAGAGGAAGAAGCACGAATCTCACTCAATTATTGAATAAAAAAGAAAGAGCATAGGATCCGCAGAGATTTGGTCCAGCAGACAAAAAGCAGCAGGAAGTTACAGCAACATACAGAATATCAAAAAAGCAAAGGAAGGAGATCAAAGCCTGGAAACATTCAGAGGATGCCCCTGAAACGGGCAGAACGCGTGCACATCTGGGGTTTGTTACAACCACGTAGCGTTCGTTTGGCTGCAGTCGGCCATCTTTGTTTATACGTGCTCAAAGCTCACCTGAGTGAACGTCCAGGTGAGCTTCATGTGCTTAGTAGTGCCGTAGCTGCACTCCAGAAGCCTGGGTTTGCTGTTCACGTCAACCAGACACTTGTTGTCGTCGTCGTCGATCGTCGGGCTCAGCACTCCCAGGTGAAGCTGCTGGGAGCTGGTGTAGTACACGTTCTGCTGGGAAACAGAGGCGTGCAGTGATGAGGCAAAACACCCGTAGGAGCTTCAGAGTAACAGTCATGGCAATACTAGACTACAGTGTAATAAAACGTTTGACAAATCAAGACAGACCAGCTGAACAGTATAAAAGTTGTCTGTATCTTTAAGGTGTATTGAAAGTGCAGCGCACTGGAGACCGACATCATTAGTTATTTAGGTTTTTTCTTATTTTTTTTTGGCCTTTAGAAGTCTCAAATACTCATAAGAATGTATGCATTATATATGATAGGCAGGTGTTAAGGGGTTAAGCTCATATTCTTTCGAATGGCCACCAGGGGGCGACACCTGTGTTTGCATAAAGACTTCTGCTCTTACAGAATTCTGTGGAAAAACCTGAAAACGTGACCTCAACACATTTTTGTTATTTGGGCTGAGTACATTCATTAGGAATAGAAGTTAAGTTGGAATATGTTTGTCATGGTCCTGGGCCATGTGGGCCCAGTATTCTCAGTTCTTTGTATTCTCGTATTTCGTTCCTTATTTAGACCATGTCTTCTGAGTTGCCCTGTTGTGTTGTTCCCTAAGTGTTTTCCCTTCATGGCTTCTACCCCTGTGTGCCCCTCTGTGTATCTGTGAGCCCTCGTCTCTCCTTATGTTTTATTCCATGTTTCCCCTGCCCTTTATGTCTAAGTTCTCCCCGTGCTCTCTCTCCCCCCTGTGTGCCTTCTAGGTATTTATGAGCCCTCGTCTCCCTTTGTGGTTGTTTCATGTTTCCCCAGCCCATTATGTCTGTGTTTTCCCCGTGCTCTCTCTCTCCTCCTGTCTGAACCTCTGTGCCTGTACATGTCATGTTCAGTTCACCCCGCCCTGTCTCGTTATGGTTCTGTGTCACCTGTGTTCCCCGTGTGTTCCCACTTTCCTCGTTAACCCTCTGTGTATTTCTGTCTGCGTCTTCCCCTGTTCGGCGTCGCGTTCTCCCTCATGCCGTGTGTGGTTCTCCCGTGTCTTCCGGTATATGTTACTTTAGCTTTTCCCAGTTTAGTGTAGTTTTGTATTGCTTTTGTATCATCGTTATTGTTTATCACTTATCAGCAATAAAGCTGCATTTTGAGTTTATCCCCCGTGTCTGTGAGTTTGCAATTTGGGTCCTCATTCTGCCTGCCACACGGCCGAAACATGACAATGTTCCCTTTTTAAATAATTAATAATCAAGTCAAGTGGCTTTATTGTCATTCCCATCATGTGCAGTGGTACAGTACACAGTGCAGCGAGACAACGTTCCTCCAAGACCATAGCGCTACAGACAATCGAGGTCGGCCATATCTGGATATTTTGTTTTTGATGTACTATGTTTACTGTACTCCACTTCTTCTGTTGAAAATTAAAAACAAAACAGACAATCGACACAGGACCACATCAAGTGCAAGTGTGCAGAACTTTGCAAAAATTGCAAAAAAGCAAAACAAAGACAGTTCAACACCAGCCAGAACAGAACGACACAGACACAAGGCAGTGCAATAGAAAAGTGCAACAATGACAGTGGGCTGTGCAAAAGACTGAGCGTTGTGATAATAATGAGGTCCAGTCAGCTTCTAAATAAAACAGCTGGTAGAAACGTCCTGCAAAGAGACGGTTTTTACTTCGAGGCCTTTTTCACTATTACTTTAACAAAGAAGTTAAATCCATACTTCATCAGAGTATTTTTAACACAAACATCAGTATTTCTACATAAGTAATGACTGTGTGTGATTTTCCCATCATTCACTTTTGTCTGCTCACTCCTGTAGCTTGTGTTTGGTCCCAGTTGGGATGTAAGTTTTTCCATTTCTAATATGTACCAAGCAGGGGGAAATCATAGTGATAAATAATGTAATATAGTATTTGTTATCATGCTATAAAACTGGATTTAATCATTTCATTGCAATTCTTGTTTTTCTGTAGACAACAGAAAAACAAGAATAGATCCCCGATGACCCGATGGTTCTGTTTTTTTTAGTAAATTGCATCTTGGGCATAAATATGTTTTTCTTGATCAACAGAGCTCTGTCCTCTCTGTGAAATAAACTGAACCAGGACAGCAGATATACCTCAGTTTTATAACGAAGCAGCTCTGCTGTAGCCTGTATTCACTGAGGGTTTCTGTTATTAGAGGTTAGCTGCAGGGAGGACTGTAAGTAGGCTAATTTCTGAATACTAAGTGTTTTTTTTTACTCTCACCTGCAACATTTTCCATGTCTTTTAACAACATTTTCACTTTTACTGCTGTGAAAAATAAACAAGCCACCTGTAACTGAACTAATTAGGAAGAAAACAGAAAGGAGAGAGGGGGAAATATTTAGTGGAAGGTAGGAGAAGAGAGGTCAGGGGATGATATTAGGTGCCAGTTGAATACTAGCTCAGGAAGTTTTCTTTCCCTTTCCAGGTATGCAAAAGCATGAGGACATGGTAATGAATGCAATAGTTGGTCCAGTTCTGAAGCCCACAAAATGTCTAGTGAGGTAAATCAAACACAAACCTTAAGTAGGTTGAAAATTCAAACCGTGTAGCGAGGCATGCATCCCAGAAAAAGATGAGACAAAGAATCACAGACAACTTGACATGAGTAAAGCAAATGAGAAGGATCAAGGTCGACACGAAATCCAAACAAGCGGAAAAAGTTGAGATCAAGGAGCCGTGGAATAGCAGGCACAGACGCGGCACTGCTGAGAACAAACGGATACACCGGCTGAGCGCTCCGACTCACAGTGTATGTGTTTCCACAGGAGTGTGTGAGAGCTCAGAGGAGGTAATTGATGAGAATGATGACCGCCTTACAGGAACAGGACATTTCTAGATAGGAGCCATTATCACACTGTGATAAGCTGCTGTTTAAAAACTCCCCGAGACAGACAATGGCACACACTGATGTGTGCGTGCATGTGCTGCGAGCATGTCTGTGCTGCGGAGGGAAAGCTCGTTTTTTTTCTGTGCACGTGCACTAATAAGAGTGATTACATTTGCATCCGTCAATAGATTGATGCTCAGTCTCCAACGGTGGGGCCTTAATACTTTCTCCTGCCTGTCACAGCTATGGAAGAGCAGGAACAGAAGGATTAGCACGGTGCTTCTGTAGACACACAGCAGTCTCTCCTGACAGATGCACACAGTAACAAGCGTGGACAGGAGAAAGCTGGGGGATTATTTTTAGTCTTTAATGTTTACTTTCAGCAGATGAGATTTTAAGAAAGAAAATCATTATGAATTCATTAAAAAACTGTTTGTGACAAACATCAAATATATAAAAATGAGGAGTGGAGAGGCAGCTGGTCCAGATGATGTAGCTGTGGAAGCATGGAGATATCTGGGAGACAGGGCGGGACTCTTTGATCAGATCGTTTGACACAATCAGAGAATAAGAGCTGCTTTGATGTAGGGTTTGGAGACACTGACAAAAAGACAGGAGGGGGCAGAGCTGACGATGTAAAGGTTTTCCTTGCGAGTGAGAAGGATGGACAGGATTAGAAATGAGTCCATGAGAGGGACAGCTTGAGCAGTTTGGGACGAGGGTTAGGGATTGAGAAGCAAGGCGAGATGGTTTGGATGTGCAGAGGAGGGAGAGTGGATATGTTGGTGAAAGGATGGTGAAGCTGGAGCTACCAGGAAGGAGGAAAAGAGGAAGACCTCAGAGATGATTCATGGATGCAGTCAGATATTATATTTTCAAGTGAAAAGGCCATCTATTGGTAACCAGAAGAATTATGACTCGTGCAAGAGCAGCGTGACAGGTGGATGGCCATTTAAAGCCAGGTGATTTTTCTCAGACTGGTTTCTAACCACAAACGCCCTTTAGCCACTTTCCCTTATTAGAAATAAAAATAAATTTATTTCAACTGGAATAATGTTTTGTGCTTGCACTGTATATACTTTCAAGATTTAGGTTGAGGACAAAACCTTCTGCCTCCACTCAGCCCCGACCCTTAGTGAGGACTTCTTGTGACCAGGAACATGTTATGACTGCAATCAGATCATGCTAATCCTTAAATATATCATTGGGCCTCAAAAAATGTGTTCTTAGTCATGGTCTAAAGTGCGGACCGGCAAATTTTTCTTTGTTGCTGTTTTAATTTGAAAGACTTTAGGAATTGTGTAAAATTTGTGTTTTTCTAGGCACAGATGCGCTTCATTGTCATCCGCAGACACATGTACATAATTCATCCAGCAGACGCAGCCGGCTGGAGCTGAAGTTTGCATGTTACAGTATGTGTTTGCAAGCTCCATCTCTCGCCTCATTGCATATCTATTCAGGGGAGAATAGGAAGAAGCATACAGTGGGGCAAAAAAGTATTTAGTCAGCCACCGATTGTGCAAGTTCCCCCACTTAAAATGATGACAGAGGTCAGTAATTTGCACCAGAGGTACACTTCAACTGTGAGAGACAGAATGTGAAAAAAAAATCCATGAATCCACATGGTAGGATTTGTAAAGAATTTATTCGTAAATCAGGGTGGAAAATAAGTATTTGGTCACCTCAAACAAGGAAAATCTCTGGCTCTCACAGACCTGTAACGTCTTCTGTAAGAAGCTTTTCTGTCCCCCACTCGTTACCTGTATGAATGGCACCTGTTTGAACTCATCATCTGTATAAAAGACACCTGTCCACAGCCTCAAACAGTCAGACTCCAAACTCCGCCATGGCCAAGACCAAGGAGCTTTTGAAGGACACCAGGAAAAGTATTGTAGACCTGCACCAGACTGGGAAGAGTGAATCTACAATAGGCAAGCAGCTTGGTGTGAATAAATCAACTGTGGGAGCAATCATCAGCAAATGGAAGACATACAAGACCACTGATGATCTCCCTCGATCTGGGGCTCCACGCAAGATCTCATCCCGTGGGGTCAAAATGATCATGAGAACGGTGAGCAAAGATCCCAGAACCACACGGGGGGACCTGGTGAATGACCTGCAGAGAGCTGGGACCAAAGTAACAAAGGTCACCATCAGTAACACACTACAACGGCAGGGAATCAAATCCCGCAGT